AAGTAGATGATAATCAGTGCAGTGGGTGCACTGTAACGAAACAAAATTAAAATGTTACTTTTAGGCAAGACAAATTGCTCCAGGAAATTTGCTGCTGCTTGCATAAATTGCTGAAAATTGCCAGATGTGCATTTTTGCAAGATGTTTTTCTTTTTTCTTCTCACTCTCTGTTTGCAAATGATGTGAAGTGGCAAGAATTATGCAAATATCAAGCACTGATCACCTGATGTGATTTCCTCTCCTGCTTTTGGGATTTCAGCAGCCATTTCCATACATTTGTGAGTCTATCTTAGCCCTCCTTAGGAACCTTTGTGCATCTTTTCAAAGTGAAGCTAAGCTTTTGGAAAAAGCAGAAATCTACACACTGTTCCAAACTCTGTGCTTCCCCCTTCCCATGCTTCTCTGAAATGAAAGCATGTTTATTTTGTGACATAATCTTATGGTTAGAAATCTATCTTCCTGGATACCTTCCAAAGCCGAAGATACTGCTTCCATGTTGATGGAAGATTTAAAGATTAGAGTCCTCAGCCCAGTCTCTACCACCTTGCAGCTGTTGGTGCCAACTTTGACATACAGCAAGAGTAGCGTTAGCTGACATCATAGATGCTGAAAAGGGGTGCTTCAGTAGACAGAAGAGAAAGGAGAGCCCACTGAAACACACCTTCCATATTCGATTGTAAGAAATATACCACCATAAAGGAAAAAGCCAAGGATACACAGAGCAATGGGGAGAGCAGAGGATGAAACTACGCTACAGGCAAATCACACCTTGATCAATTAAGGGCAGTAGAATGCCTGGGAGAGTTAAGAAGGGGTTGCAGGTCGGCACCCCTGCCAAGGGTCCTAAACGCAAGAGGTGCATGGGGAAAGGGCCTCACTGGCAGATCTTGACTCAAAGTGATTTAAGGATTTCAAGGTTAAAGTAGCAGCCCCTGAAGCTGAGCTTGGAAGTTAACGGGTAACCAGTGCCACTCTGTGGATGGCCCAAAGGGCACTTCCATAGAACTAAAACCCTGCCTCTCGTGAAGGATTCTCAGCATTAATAATTTTCTGAATCCGAAGGCTTCTCTCAACAATATGGTACCGCCCTTTGATATATAAGAGTGTATGTATCGGCAGGCTTAGGAGACCCCAAAGTGTACAGATATATACCCTCCCCACCCAGAAGAAAGCCTTTAGAAGGAAACTGTAAGGGGGGAAACAAGGAGGTGCCAAGAACCCACTGTGGAGACTGCTTCCCGATCATGGAAAGCCAGCTGACTGTCGGGAGGAAAACACAACAGGAACCCAGTGGGGATTGGAATGGAACGGAGTATCCTGGAAGAGGATGCAGCTGGTCATCTGGTTCCCTAAACAAGAACACAGTCCATCATTTTGCTTCCCTTGATCCTTCTTTTTCGGGTACTTTCTACAGAGAAAGAGCAGAATCTTTATTTATGCACTGTATTTAGTCTGTTGTCCCTGTGAAGACAGCATGGTAACCATTAAAGAAAAAAGTGAAAGAAGTTTAATGGTCTGGTTTTCCTCTTTGGCAGGCCCAGAAGGAATTGGCCAAGGCCTTCACCCCACCTCTTTTATACTGACCTTTCCTCACATTGTTCTTAAGACATGCCTGGAATCCATTTTAATGCTCTCTCCCTGCACAGAATTTCAAAGAACTGGAAGGCCAGAGTTCAATAGTTTTGTAACCCAGTGTCAAACTTTCAAGTTTAAACCAGAGGGAACATTAATCAGATTTTAAGCAATACGAAAATGGAAGGCCATGCAGTCTTTTCAAAGATTTCAGTAGCCTTGCCAGATGCAACACTTCACCTACCGCTTTAAGGTAGCACTGCCAATTCCACGTCTATTCCCTCATACGCAGTCCTGAAGCAAGGCATGTTTCTGAAACTCATATTAAATTGTACAGTTTACAAAAATGATGCCTTTGCCCTAGGATGGCAGAGCTGAAGAGAAGCACTCTCTGGACTCAGCCAGGGTACAAATGGCTCCTGGGAGGAGGCATGCCTTGCCTCCCAGAAAGAGCATCATGGCAGAGGGAAGACCATCTTAGCTTCGTGCATTGGCCAAAGGAGCAGCAACTCCAAGTCCTCTTACCAGGAACACTCAGCAGCAAGTAACAGTTTCCCTGGGACTGCACCACTGACCAGACCAGAGGACTGGATGGCTGACGGGCTTGCCTATGTATTAACATTTATATATTCTGTAAAACTTCTTGAGACGTTTGCAAAAAGATGGGATAAAATGTTTTATTAAATTAAATAAAATATCCCCTTTTGTGTGAATGGGCTAAAAAGCTGTGATATTCTTTTGTGAGGAATCACAATCAAAAGGTAGGATATAGATCTACTAAAACAACCAGCCGCCACCATTCATTCTGCCCCACCTTCTGTTGAAACGAAAGCTCCCCTTGTTCTATTCCAGGTGTGCCCAGCTGCCCATTTCCACTGCTCATCAGTGGCAGATGCGTTTGTTCCCAAGGCCGTTGCACCTGATTTCAGCATCATTCTGTGACTTCCAGTACAACACTTCATGCAATTTTTTGTTAAGTATTTTTTGCTGCATGTTTTTAGGTACCTCTTTAAGGGCTGCACTCCGACTCCTAAGCAAAATCCAGAAGGTAACTTCACTGATGTCAAGAACTCCAAGGAAATATGGGTAAGCTGGGACACAGCTGAAATGCCAAGCATGGTTTCCATAACCGGGTCTGACAGCCTGAGACAGATCATGTGCTGGATCTTTGCCTTGGTTGCAACGGCAGGGCTTCCCGCCTGATGCATCGCTTGGGGAGAGTGTCTATTGCAAGCTGATCCAGCAGTGATGAATGGTGGAAGTCCATGGAGGACTTCTTTGAGTGGAAGTCCATGACATCTACAAGAGCTCCAGATGAGTCATACGGACTGTCAGGAAATAATTCAAGTGAACGCTAGATGGATCTGAAATTGCCCCGAGGAAGACCACCTGGCAACCCAAGCAAAGCAAGACTTTTTGATGGGAAGGTACAGCATCCATGTTTGAGATACACAAAACCCCTTTCCTAGAAACGAGTCCAAGTTAAGTTGATGGAATTTGTTGAAAGCTAATTGATTTCTCCATTACAAAGAGGATGTCCATGCAACTTGGCTCTTCCTAGCAGCTTACGGTGGTGTGGTGATCGCAACTATTGGACAAACTTCAGTATGGAGGCTGTTCAAAGAGCAACAGAGCTTCCCCATGGAAAACAAGAAGCTAAACTGAAGTTCTAGCAGGGGATCCTCATGTGGGGATTAGAGGCAGAAGCAGCACTGGTTACAAGAAAGGCAAGCTGCCTTCTTTCAAGGTTAAGGTTGTGAACAGTGTGATGCTCACCCAAACCAACAGCAAAGACAAAGGGTCATGATAAGAGAGCCAAGTAGTAGCCCTCCACTGCATTCTCACTTAGCGGGCATTTCGGAACTAAATCTCAGGGAATCAGCTGCTCAGGGGTGGTCAACATCCACCCCAGCTGGCCTCCAGCGCTGCTGAACTTCAGAAGTGCAGCACCAATGAATTAGAGGTTTGCCACGGAATTTCTGCAGCAAACTGTGAAAGCTTTTAAGTGGAGTTGGTCCCTTTTCAGCATCTATCTGCAAACCTCCACCATGGTTCGTGGCTGCATTTTACCAACACAGTGCCAGGGAATTTTTGCCATGCACTATGTTTCAGAGGGTTGAAATGGCTCTAACTATGAATTGACAGTGTTGTCCATAAATATTCTGGTCTTGGGCACACTGAGCTGAAATTGTGTTAGGCAGAATACAAGCCACATCAGTCACGTAAGGAAAATGTGCAGGATTATTGTTGCACGCTATTGGTGGGCATGTGGCTGCAGAGGACGTCATTTAAAGTGTGAAGCTGGCTGCAAGGAAAAGCACACAGGAAAGTTTATCTTACGTGCTCACCGTTGTTTAAATCATTTCTAATACCCTGCAAGGAAGGCTGCAAAAGCAATTCTGGATTTTATCTGGAGCAGTGTAATAAAGCTATAAAACTGAAAAGACAATCATGCAGGCATCAGACCTGGAGTTGGCAATTGTATAACAAAACAGGCAGCGAGGGCTGGAGACCAGTGACTTGCAGCTTCCGTTTAAAATAGAAAGAAATGAAGTTCTTCCGCTTCCCTGTCCCTTTTGCACTACTCCAAAAGCTGGGTCCAAACAGAACCGAAACTGGTTTGGAGGATCCGTCACTCAGTGAGAAACAAACGAGCACGGTGGTATTATGCATTTGTTTTTATTTAGTGCTGTGGATACCAAACTAAACCCCATTCTAACAACCATTTGTGCTGTGATTTTGACAAACTTAATTACAGGCTTTGGTAGCAGCAGAAAAGAAAGCGGAAGGTTCTCAGCCTTTGAGAATCGTGTCCCTTGCAGGAGAACAGGCTGCTTATGAAGAGTGACGAGCTTGGAAGGCCACACTTTGGTTAGCAAGGGGTCATTTATTGAAGCTGGTGGAAGACAGCGTGCCGATTAACCAAAAGCAGCAATATATGCTGTGCTCATAACGTAAGCAGAAAGTCCAGCCTTCTCCGACCAAGCGCCTTCCAGATGTGCTGAAAAAGAGCTCCCATCTGCCCAGACATTGGCTCTGCTGGCTGGGGATGCTGAAGCTTGCAGGGCAATAGAACTGGAGGGCCCCGGGCTGCAGAAGGCTGCCTTTGTTCCATCGCTGGCTCTTGCAACTCCTAACATATGGCTTTGTCTTGCTGAAGCAATGCTTGAGAGACAGACGGAGGTATGTTGATTGTTACAGTGCCTTTTATGCATCCTATGAAAATATTAAAGGCTATCTTCCACCATAAATATAAAGCAACATTTATATAAAACATGGAGAGAGAGAGAGAGAGAGAGAGAGAGAGAGAGAGAGAGAGAGAGAGAGAGAGAGAGAGAGAGAGAGATCTCCAGCTGCAACTATTTTCATGAATGGAAGCATCAGACCGACAGGGCATCAGCAAGCCACAGCAGGAGTGCTTTCGGCTTTCAGTCCTTCTTGGCCTGCAAACTCTGCGTGATGAAGTGTGGCGCAGGGCTGGAGGAAGCGACGTAGCTGACCTGATGGAAGGGGCCAGGGTTCATGCCATTGTGGACCCGTGCAGCATTCCCGAAGGGTGGGCTTACTGGATACCAAGGGCTAACATAGTGGTAGGCAGGCACTAAGGAAACGCACGCATCGTATCCAGGCACAGGAGGCTGGCTGTAGGGGTCTGTGACTACTGGATAAAAAACTGTTCCGTGGGAAGGCGAGGGCGGCTCTGCGACGGAGAGAGCACCTGAGAGAGGAAAAGTACATGCCACACGTATTAACAGAGCACACACAGGCCTGTTCCTTGAACCATTTTATGGCTGCAAGAGGCACGTGGCTAAGAAACGCACCGGAAGACTTCCTACTTTGGCTATGCCACTAGAACTGTGAATTGATTCAAAAGCTTTTAGTAGAGTAACCATCTGTCTTTTAAACCAATTAAATATATTTGCATGTTAACGAAAAATTCAATAAGGATGCCTTTTTCAAATACACAAATGTGAGATTTCACCATTTAGCAAGAAACAGAAGGTCAGTGTTAGATTGTTTCCTGCAGAAGGATCAAAAATAGTCCGGCAGGCAAAGGAGGCAAGTCGGCTCTTTGCCTGATTAAAATTTTCCCTAATTAAAATGTGCCCTGAATAATCAATGGCATTTCGTGGATTTATCTGCTGATTAAACCTTGCAGCCCTATGCACTACATACATTGTAATTTGCACAGCTGATGAGCCCGGATAATTGTGGCGGCAGCTTCCTCCAGAAATTTATGCTTGTGTAATTACTAACAGAGCACAAAGCCAAGCGCAGGTTTTATTGCACGTGTAACTCACACTAAGCCATGAAGCTGGGTTATGATAACTGAAAGCAATTCACCAAGTCCATACCAAGCCCAGTTAAATGACTGCACATGCTCATTAACAATTTCTCCGCATGCATCAGAAGGGAATCCCTTTCAGGTCCACTACAAGTGAAGCCCGGTTGTATTTTGGTTTCCTTGGGCTTTTAAAAAATAATTTAAATCAAAGCAGGTGCAGGAAGCTGCAAGGTCACATCCGTCCTTGGGGTCGGAGGATGCTTCCCTCTCTTTCCTCAGGCTCTCGTGCCCCAAAAAAGACCTACTTTGGACCCAAGCTGCTTTTGGCACCACAGGGAAGAAGGATGGGTGCATTACACAGTCTTTGGGAAAGGAAGTTCTTAGAAACTGGACACTGCTCACTGGACCCAAAATAAGGGACCCCCAGATAAGTGCTTCAGGGTTCTACTGTCCTTTCATTATGTCATGTCACTACTGAGTCACATCCCAGGAGCACAAAGTCCCATGGGAGTTCCAAGCAGGTACGGTACCCATGTTGATAGTCTACCAGGGACCTGCAGCATGACAAGGTAAGGACAAGTGTCCACCTACTGCATAGCTTCTCCCTGGAGAGACACTGCTCAATACATTCCCCCTGCTCTCTGCATGGAACTGTCACAATGGTGGGCTGGATCCAGATTCACACTGGATCAACTCTGGTGGCAGAAGAGGCCCTCCCTGCCCCCTCCCTCCCAGGACAGCCCCTCCAGCCCTCGGAAATGCCTCACAGAAAGACCCTCCCAATGCGGTCAACTGTGGTGTGTGGGAGGACCGTCCAAACTCAGGTTGAGGGGCCTTCCGCACGAATTGCCCTTCGTCCTCCGTCATAGGACGGATCCTGCTTCCAACCCTCTGGCTGAATGCAGAGATTACAGGCACTTACAAGCATCTACACAAAAAAATATTACTTAAAAACAAACACCAAGGAGGAGCGGGTGAATCGGCTGCACCCAATGAAAGGCAGGAGGCACTCGATGCTCTTTCGCACCAGGGCGTAGTTGCGTGGCATCTCAGGGCAAGCACTAACCATTCTGGGTGGCATCCACAGGGACCGGGCGCATGTCGTGCCTCCCGACTTCAGCATAGGCGGGGGGGAGCGACGGATCCACCGCGGGGACGGGCTCAGCATACGGCTGGTAAGGCTCCATGTAGGGCGAGGGCCCTGCCTGCTGCACGTACGTCATGGGGTTCCAGCAGCTCTGGTGGTAGAACTTGCGAGGTCCAAGGCAAGAGAAGCACACGTTAGACAGACCCGGCGGATGCAGCCGCCGCCACCATCCCAACAGCAAGATCTGTCCCCGTGCTTCGCTCCCATCAAAACTCCACAGGACAAATCCATCATGGGCAACTAACCCCCCGCCCCCACTGCTCTCTACCAGGTGGATGCATGGCCAGCTTAGCCTAGATTCCACTCACTGGCGGGGCGGGCAACGTGACAACACACACTCGGGGCTGGGCATGGATGGAGTGCAGGTTGCCACTGAAATATGGGCCATGGTGTGGCCGGGGGGGGGGGGGGGGGGCTCAGGAATTTGGTTCTGCCAGCAAAGCGAGAAGGGCTGGAGACTGCTTGTTCTATTTCTTCACTGTTCTCCGCTCTGAAATCTCCATACTGGAATAGGGAGGGGTCTACAGATGGACATAAGGCCTCCAATCCAGGCCTTGTGAGGCCAGAAAAGCTGGCACCCTTTTTAGATGTTTGGCTGAGAGACAAAAGTCGCCAATGTCCAGTTAGCCAAGGTGACTCCAAAATGCCAAAAATCTGCAGGAACTCAGGGTGATGAGAAAACATTGACAATCGGAGACCAAGGGACAATTCCCTCCCCACACACCGACGCTACCCCAGAGTGGTTTTCTAACAAGCACTTACCTGTAAACCCAAATTAAAGTAATACTGTAAAATCTTTGGGTCTGAAAAGCAAAAGGACACCATGACTAGATTTCTCTGCCCGCTACATTAATGATGGAACAATTGCCTGCTCTTGTCAGAAGGCAGAGAAACAAGATGCTTCAACAGATTCACACGGAAGTACTTCACAAACAAAATATGTGCCTGCCCTCCCCACACCACGGTGCCTAGGGTTATTCGTTTTTCAGCACCAGGCTAAGACCTTTTTATTTCAACAATATTTTAACAACGTTTAATATTATCCACAGGTTTTAATTTCCAGCCAGAATGAATTGGGGTTTTTAATTTGTGTAATTTATATTTTTTGTCTTTGTATTGGGCACTATGTTGTCTATTTATGTTTATTTATGTAAGCCCTCCCGAGGCATTAAGCGATGGGACGGCATATAAAAACTCCAAATAAATAATAAATACATAAATAGGGTGCAAGAGTTCTCAAACTGTAAATAGAAATCTTTAAAACATATTAGTGCACCAAGAATCATTAGGAACAGACTGGCCTAAGTTAATTTGAATAAATCACTCCAATATCAGAACTCCCAACGCTAACCAGATCTAAAGGCAGGAAATATAGCACCCTCCAAACATCCGGGACTAAATATCCCATTAAGCTCTTGCCGGCAAGTCCAATAGTCAGAGATTCTGGGAATTCCACTCCAAACAGCTGGCAGGTACCAAAAGTCTAAGTAGTGAATTAAGAAAGTTAGATGTGGAATTAAAGGAGGAGTCAGCAAAGACAGACAGGAGGGTCCCAATGTACAAATCACATCCAATTTTGTACATTTAAAACTGGACAGTTGCAGAGATTACCCTCAAGGAACAAAATAGTATTGCAAAATATTTTAATTGCCTCAAATTCTGTTCATTGTTCCACACAGGGAAATCTGCATCCAGACCAACCAACAAGGGAACAGCTGATTAAACTATAGAAATTCACACCCTGAAGGCAAAACAAAAAATAGATTTGGGTGTTTATAGTTTATTAAATGAATCCCCTTGCCTTGCCACCAAAAATGTAGCTTGTGGAAGCTAAGAAAAACACAGCAGAGGAAACAAAAACTTAACAAATTTATTAAAATACAATTAAAAAATCTACAGCACCCAACCAGGAATACTGGGTGATTTAAGAGAGAAATGGAGCTTATTTCTCTGTACTAGGATACACTCTATATTAGAGTGGGAAGACATAAAAAGAGTAAAGATCTCAAAGATTAAAAGGAGCTCCTAAAATGGTTTGTGGGAGGTCTACGCCAAAGACGCCCAAAGCAATCTCTCCACCAACTTTTCTTTAACGAGTTGCTTGCTTTTGCCTCAGTTGAAAATCTGGTGTATAAAGCCCAATATCAAAGCAACCCGAGATTTAGGAAGGGGGCTGCCTTTTCAAGCCCTGGTCCCAAAAATCATACCAGAATTTGCAAAAATCAAATGTCTCAAGCAACTCTAGTAGGACAGGGAGAGGTTAAGTATGGTCATTAGTGCCTGAGGACCATGTGCCTATTTCTATCTCTTCCCCCTTCATGCACTGACATCACACATGGTCGGCCCATGCGCAGAAACTGCATTGCTTTCATTGATTGTGCGCACGCTGCTCTGGGAGAACGTTTGCCGGAGGAGCGAGATAAAACTGCTTTAAATAAAATTAGTTAATTATGAAATGCTTTAAATGAATGAGCAATAAATTGGTTTCTTACCTCGCGGGAGGTCACTCCCGCTAGGATCATAGGAATAGGAAGGAGCGGCACTTCCAGTGTCCCCTGCGTCACTGACTGGAGGAAGGGACGGTGGCTGGTATGGATACGGCACCGAAGGAATCATGACTATTTTTTTAAGTAGTAGAAAAAGTATTTTAAAGAAGAAAATTAAAAAGCAGCCCAATCTGTCAAACAAATCCTAACCTGGGTCTAGCTATAAACAGCTGCACTGCTTTTAAATTTGATTTTGAGCAGAAATCAAAGGCCCGATGTACCCAACTTGTGGCCGTGCTGTCAAATTTTGGAGAGTGTGGCTTTCTGAGTTCCTTGGAGGCTGTGCAGCTCCCGAGCACCAGAAGTTGCCAAGGAACAGCCAGTTTGAGATGTGTTAAGGTACGCTACAAAGCCAAACAGTTAACTATTCCTGCAACTGTGCTTTATTCACTTGGATTTCTGCAGGTTTGTAGCCAGTTACTCAGAAAAGGTCCCATCTCCACCCAAGCAGGACACCTGCAAAAGAGAATTCAGGTGCACAGAAAACATGTTTTTCCCCCAGAACCATTTAAGCTAAAATCCATGTTACAGCCTTCTGCATTTTACGCTGTTCTATCGTTTTTACATTTAATCGTTTTTTACAAATGGGAGTACTTATACATATTCTTGTTCCTTGCCTCAGGTAAAACAAACCCCATGAATCAAACTTTGACCCCTCTCTTATTTAACTTGCAATATTGGTAACACACACACTTAAACTGTTACCTTCAAAAGATTAGGCAGAACCGGAGTTCACTGGACTGTGCACATCATAAAGAATTTAGCTAGCTTAGTCAATCCTATTCAACCAAACAAAATTTCTGTAAGAAGTCTACCTCGTTCTCTGTGCTTAGAGAATAAGACTTGGGAGAAAATCACAGTTCAGAAACAAGATGGTCCATGTGCAGTTTTGTGCATTTATGTTTAGATCTCTGCTCCCTTACGCACAAGTTCATATGAGAGAAACAGAACAACTTGCAAAGCATGGGGATGAAGACAAACCTTGGTCTTCCCAGAAACAAAAATCCTAAGACTCAAATTATTGACAAGAAATTCCTCCATTCAGACACATTTCACTTGCCTGCCAATACACTGCCCCACATTTACAATACTTCAAGCTGGCTAGACCTTCTCAACAAAACAAAATCACCACAGCACCATCAAGTGGCTGGAAACCTTCCTGATGCACAAGCTGAAGAGGAAAACAGGACGAGAAGTGAAGCACAGAGGGAAGAGGAGGTGGCCCTGGGCCCCCAGATGACACGGGACGACAGCTGGCAAGATTCCTGCTCACTGCTCATTGCCCATGCAGGGCGAAGAGAGCGGCGACCACAACAACTGGAGGGCAACCAATTCCCCACCTCTGCTTGCTTTGCCTTGTCCCTGGTGACAGCAGTTGAAAGCCCGTCACTTCCACCCATATACAGGAACAGAAGCAAAGAATCTATGCAAAGTGTAGAAACAGGAACTTTGCCGGGAGGCCTTTATAGTTAGCGTTCACAAAATGTTGCCCCAAAGCAAATGACACGGCCAGACAATGCAATTCCTTGCTCACCTGACACAGACAAATGGACCCACCCCTCCTTGCCCTCATCTTTTGTTTCCTCTTCCTCTATCACCTTCCTAACCTGTTTACCTGAGTGACAACACAAGAGCGAATTTCCAACTGTCTACAAAGGTACGAGAGTGTATCAGGGACCTTGAATGATCAGAAAACCATTTTCTTCCTGGTAGTTAGATATCCTGGAAAGAAATATTCACTTTCTCTTCTAAACCAAGTGGGTTCCCTGCCTAATTTTCATTCTCCTCCTTCACTTCAATTCATTGTTGCTAGAGATAATGAAAAGCTTTAATTACTGGTTAAAAAACAACACTCACCAATAACTAACTGTCCCTGCCTGTCCCCCTCCTCCAGAGGGACAATTAGTAGCTGAAGAGAGATAAGAGAAGCAGCCAGAAAATAGCCCCCACTCACAGTACCTGCCCTCTTTGGAAGAAGAGGAGGACTCTTTATGCAATCTGTGGCCAGGTCTGCCTTTCTCGACATGGAACTTCCTTGCCTTCCAAAGCCTGACAATTTTTCTAGGGGTTTTATCATCTGTAGTTTTAAGGAAAGGCTGACTTGCTACAGCAAGGATTCAACTTTAAGGGGGGCTTTTTTTAAATGTGGAAACCTCAGGTGCAGGGCTAAATCCATCCCAGAACTGGGTTCCCCAGAGAACAAGCTTTACTTCCTCCAATCCCATCTCCTTAGCTCTCCATCAAACGTTTAGAAGCTTTCTGGGTTTTGTACAGCTTTCCCTCTGTTCTCAAGGGCTTAAGTGCCTCCCTGCTAAGACTCAATTCCTGGCAGTAAGAGCCTGAAGCAAGAACAGGCTAGGATTTTGGTATTCCAGCTCTGCAGCGTTGTGACACTGGTCCCATGCACCATGGAGAGGCATCCCCAAAAACTTTTCAAATATGCAATCCGACCCCTTGGCTCAATGTTACCTGCCAGGTCAGCATCAAATCTCATGGAGACAAGCCACACCTCACCTGGCCTTCCCACAGGAGGGGAGACTAAGATGGGCTGCATCGTGTTCTGGGGCACAGACGGGCTGACACTGACTTGTGGGGCAGCTGTTGAGCTGGAGCAGAAGACGGCTGCCGGGGCACTGTTCACCCCTGAAGAGCTGGAAATCACTGCAGAATTCACCATCACCTGCAGGGAAGGAAGTGCAAGAATCAGAGAAGAGGAGGAGACCGCATACGTCTTGCAATGGGCAGACCGGACTATCATGGGCCAACAGGACAGCTTTTCGGTGTGGGAAGTTCTCTGGTAGAATGGCCCAAACCTATAGTGTGTTTTTCATGGCCCAAAGCTGGATCTAACCCTAAACGAACTGAGACTTCCATTGCACTCTCCTGAGTTTTTAAGAACCGCTCAGAAAATGCCACCCAGGCCAACTGGCTTTTTCCTTAAAAACACAACAAAACAGTTACTCCCAAACTTCTTTTATCTGCTCAGCTGCACTCTTGAAAAACAAAGGCTGCAGAGATGCGCACCCTTTGTGCCTGATGGGTATAAGCAGCAACATCTGATGTTGCAGCTCTGGTCCAGCCCTTTCCTAAGTCATTCATTCCTTGAGTTGAAGAACCAGCCCTGATTACTTCAGATAGTCCCACTCAGAGGCAGCTAGGAGGACAATGATCCACAGCCACACTGGACATCATCTTACAAGTGAAAGCAATGTGCTTTTGTTTGCTTGCTTGAAAGGAAAAAGGGCCCCTTTTATGGCAAGTCTTTGTTTACTTAATTTTGTCTATCTCTGTAAAGCCAGCAATACCCCCCCCACCCAACACACACACACTTTTGCAGGGGATGAATGGTCCTGCTGGGCAGATATTTAGCAAATCTTGAGTTAGAATGTTCACTGGGAAATAGTAGCATTTTTTCCTGGAAAAATTACCTTCTGGGAGTAATTGTATGAAGCAACTCCCTCTTGAGAAGAGACAGAGCTTGGGCCCCCATCCTGCAAAGACTAGACAGAACAAATGGGGGGGGGGCATTAAACCATTACCAGCATGAATTCCAGTCTTGTAATATATCTGTGGAGAGAACTTGCAAAGAAACCCGAGAGGGTCAGCACCAAAGGGCTAAAAAAAGACCCCTCAAGATACCACATAAAGAACTTTGGGTGCCCGCCCTGTTGTCAATTTTGTTCTTTCCTGATACTCACTAAAACCTCCCCCAGCCACGGTTTCACATTTTGGTTTATGGCCACTCCAACTGCAAGCACACTGCAGTGCAGTCGTAGCTTTCCTAACCACGGTTAAATGCCCCACATGCACATCAGGCATTGCATAGTTCGGTTCTGCACGGTTTGCTATTTTATGTTGAAACGTTACACTACATTTATTCTGGGTTTTATTTTTCTGAGAGCTACTGCAAACCACCCAAAGAACTGTGGCTGTAAGGATAACGCTAACGTTAATGCAGAGAGTTGTTACGGGACCCTGGGGGAGGTAGATTCACCCCCTTGCCCCAGCATGGTCCAGACTGGCATTAGACCCTGTTCCTTCAACTCCAACCAAGGTGTGTTGACCTTCCCCGCCAAAGAGCGCCCTGCTTGCTTAAAGAGTGCACTGCTTTCCCAGAGATAAACCAACACCCCAACGCCAGCAGCTCAAACAGCCATTCTAATGGGGGCAGAGAATCCAGCAGGAAAGTGGTGACAGAATACTATGGAGTGTGACTCCCAAGGATGGAGTCACAGTCCATAGTATTTGGGGCCACACCCATGGGATCTATGATCCCAAAGATACCTGAGCATCTGTTTAAATGCAGCTTGACACAATTATCTATCATTTTCGGCTGGTCAAGGCAAAGTTGCAGTCACTTACTCTTGCCAAAGCGATCCCTTTCCCACTGGAAAAGCCAGGCAGAGAATGTGGGCTATTATCTCCAGACCAGACCAGGAAAGGCTGGCAGACAGGGGTGGAGGAAGGAAGGAAGGAGGGAGGGAGGGAAGGAAATGCTGGGTTGTAAGTGATTACCAGCAGACAATCTCCACTAGGTTTCCAAGCAGTTTGCCATTTGTCCTGTTCACCAGTGTGGGCATATTTGTGAGGCCAGCAGAGAACAGAGAAGGTTGTGCGAATCACCAGTACTGCACTGCAAGCCAAGCCTAAGCACCATCTCCAGGGCCCATGTGTCTGAGCACCAGCTTGATTTGACCACAGATCTTGCATAGCTTACCAAGTTTGCAGTGGATTCTGCTGTGTTAAACACAGTCGGAGTTTCACAGTCTGGATCTGGAAGAAGTGTGTAAACAGGAAAGTGAAACAGGCCAGTATTTCTCATTCTGACTTAAGTATGTAAGGACTGACTTACCCTGAATGTGTATATGGAAAATATCACCACTGTACTGACCTGAAGGGGTATAGAGATAATCCTCATGGTATTCCCCTAGGAAAGCAGAAGAGAAATGCATCATTAAAGAAACAAATTGGAATTACGCTTAGTGCAAAAAACCTTCAGGAAAAGATTACTACTGAAAGATCAAAACCTACTGCATACACGCTTTTATTCCTGCAGGAATGAAGTTGTCTATGCCCTTTAGATTTAAAGTCATGGCAAAGGGATTTATTACAAGCACCACTGGCAAATTAATATCTGATTAATCTATGAACAACTAGCTAAAGAAACAGATAGGCCAACAGCTTCAGGAGCCTCAAATCCATTGGAAAGATGCATTTTGCTGTGTACCCGAGTCAATGGAAGCCATCAGCAACGAGCTGACCTACTTGCACTGAAATTGGTTTACTGCCACCAAGTGTTACTATTTGGGTTACCATTTTAAGTCACTTGTATTTACAAAAAGCAGAATATGAAATCTTGTTATGTCAACAAGTGACTAGTGTGTAATTTAATGCGGGGGAAATAAACAGTCCATATCCCTGTATGAATACTACTAGGCACAGTTTTAACATGGGAATGACACTGCCCTATACTATGGGATGCTGTATGCGTCCCAGAGTAACATGTGGAACACATCTGGAAATGCTAAGAATTACTACCACATATGAACAGTTGTAGAGCAGGGTGGCTCCATTGGAGGACTGGGGTGTAGAGAGGAGACATGCTCATTTCCAGAAGGCCTCCCCTAAGAGGATGGGGAGGGGGGCAAAGGAGAGTTCTCAGAAGTAAATACTAAATTGGCTTCAACGAACCACTCTGTACATGCTCAGGGATTCATCCTAGGTGTTTGCACTTCTGGAAAATGTAAGGATCGTTTTGCAAGGAAGGTCTGTGGCTGGGAAGGTGCGGGGGGGAATGACAAGCAGCATTTTGGGATGTGCCCCCCCTTGCCTTTCTCCCTACCACCAACCACAATGAAGCTCCCCAAAGCTTCTCCGAAATAGAATTCACCCAGAGCTGAAAGAGGCCCTCCCTGCCTCCACAGTTCTCTTACCATTATCACTTGGCTCATCTGCTTCTTCTTCTGAGGAATTCAGCTCTTGCTTGCTGGGTGGGATGGGACTCGGGCCCCTCCTGGCTACCCAAAATCCTGCAGGGGTAGGGACCATCGGAGGATGGTTGCCCTGATTCTGGGGAACAAGATGGGATGTCTCATTATAATTGCAAATAGCTTATCTTAGGAAAGGCTTTCCCTATTCCAGTCTGTAGGGCGACAGAGAAACGGAACTTAAGCAATACTGTTAATTTATATTATTTTAACGAAGTTTTTATGTCTGTGAGCCGCCCCGAGGCTTCGGCGAATGGGGCAACATAGAAGTTTACTAAATAAATAAATAAATAAATAAATAAATACTTCCAAGTTCATGCAAAAGGTCATCCAGCAGAGAGACAGACAGATTAAGAGAAAAGCACCAGCAAAACCTTTTTCTTGCTTTTCATGCCACGTATACGAAAGCACAAAGTCATTTTCATTAAGAGAACACAGTAGAAGCAGAAACCTATCAAGCAATCAGCTATTTTTGACCAGTCCATTCAAAATTTAGAACTACAATATTTGTTGTAGCAGAAAGTGAATAGAAATATCACGGTCTGATTCCCTTTCTATTACTGCTCTTCCTTTTTTTTTTAATCAAAAAGGCCTGACAACACATATTTGATGAGTGTCAGTTTAACACCTTTTCCTCTTATTTGCACTGTAAACCATTCAAAACAGTTACACAGAATCACTGCTACACTGAACCATTTCAGTCTAGTGAAAACAATTTGGAGCCTAAATTCCTGCGCATCCAATTATGATTAATTTCTGCATTCAGCTTCTTCCCTATTGGGAAATTAATTGTGCTTGGTGGTACAGTTTTTGTTCTGAATGTAATGATGTTCTACACAGGTTGGGGCTGCATTAATTGTTGTATCTTAAGATACAAGAACAGACTCCTCGCTTGATGTGCTGATACAAACAGCGTCACAGGTTACAAGTTCATTTATTTCAGAAAGGGTGAAATGTGAGCACAGCAACGTTTTTCCTCCCTGGTGCAGCTTATCTGCATGGTCTATTTTGCCATTTCTCTCATTTAATTCTCTTCAGCTCAGTGACTTACGGGTAAAGCGGGGAAGGTTGTATCATCCCCTTCTTCAATTTCATAGAAAGTGATTGTTTCTTCCAAGCCGCGAGATTCTTCTCCATTCTCAGGGGAAAACCCGTACTGGCACTCCTTATTCACACACTGCATCTGTCTGCGGCTGCGGCTGTATGAACTTACGAAAGAATGGAGCAAGACGTTAAGAGCTGCCGCTTCTGAGACGCTGAATGAGTTTGCATGGCTGGGGAATGACAAGAAGCCAGGGGGGATGCTTCTTCCTGCCCTACAATGCTGGTGCAGCTTACCATGTTGTCTGAACCCAGTGAGTGTCATTTCTAAACGCCCGAGCAATGAACAAGCCATGGGTTGTGTATGATTTGGAAGCCTCTCCTGCTAACCACCTTGCTGGGTTCAGATGACCCAGAAACTCATGGACAGGGTAGGCTATTCTGGAGATGAAGCAGTGTGTGGGCGGAGCAGCATGGGGGGAGAAAATGGCCTCTCTTCCTCCCCCACCTACCCTTTCAGACAAACTCCTATCCCTGAAATACCCCATTTGTCAATTAATAGGTGCAATGCATTTGATATAGCTTTATTGTATTTGGTGATGACAACAGAGCAAGGTGCATTTGAACTGGGGTCAGCAAAACCATCTTTTGCTTTGATCCGAGACATGCAACAATCACGGTGCTAGAAACTGATGAAAGGTTGCCCCGGGCTTCTCAATCAAGTTGGAAGCTGACGTGATTTCAAGGATACAGAAAGAGAGTCCATGAAATGCCTGCCATATTCTCTAGAATTATGGAAACTGTGACTCCTGCTTAGCATGCAGAAAGTGCTAAGTTCAGTCCCAGAACTGGGCCTAATTTCATGCTATCCAGAGTCTGATTTCAAAAAACACTCTGCATAAGATCAGCTCAGGCATCTTCCAGGGCAGATGGCAGCCTGCTTCCCAGAACAGGAAGGAGGGCAGGAAGAGAAGGGTGAAAGGGACGGGGTGACCCACACACTGGTTCCCATGGTCCTGGCCATCCATGCTGCTGGCTTTAGTGCAACTCCTGATGATGTAACAATTACCCAAGGCAAATTAAAGGCGGCTGCCCACCCCCAAAGGAACTATTTTCCTAGGAGTGCTCCTTGTCAGAGCTGTGGCTAGATCAGCCTTCTCCAACCTTGTCCCTTCCAGACACGTTTAGACTGCAACACCCCTAATTCCTAGTCAGTGGCCCTGCTGCATGGAAATTCTGGGAGCTGTGGTCCTTTGAAGGCCACCAGGTCGGGGAAAGCTGGCTAGACGGACCAGTTGCCTGCCCAATATAAGGCAGATCCTTGCACATGCAGGCAAGCAACACAAGTGTTCTATTTCTCTTCATATCACCTTTCACTGGGGAAAGACTTAAGCGACTGAAGCCAGCAGTCTTCTGGTTCCTCCCAGAACACGATTCCCAGGATCTCTGGCCACCGACTAAGCCCAAAGGGGACTGCAGATCTGACTGTCCAGAGGCAACAGGAAGAGCTGCTTTCGACCAAGTGCAGATGCAATGCTGATTTACCTCATGGAAATATTTGCAGAAACTTACCGTGATCTATAGGAGAAGTTATCATAGCTCTGATAACACCTCTTCCCTGCAGCAGGGTAGAATGCTATCTCAGGGCCAACCATGTTGTTTCTGTTTATAAACCGGGCAGATCCCCTAAGTTACAAAAGAAAGTGAAGTGACTGCAAACCTAGCACTCTTCATCACCTCGTGAAGCTCTGCTCAGGTAGTTTTGGCCACCAGGACCAGAACGGTCTCCCACACCCTTGCACAGCTTAGCCCAAAGCCATAGCTTAGCACTGTGTGTGACAGCCAGGCTGAGTCATGGTCTGAATTCTTTCCCCTCCCTTTCCTTCTGGAATTACCATGGAGAGACTGGAAGCCCTGACCTGGATTCCCCAGAAACATCTACTGTCTGTTTTCCATCACTTCTAGAATGGGCAGAACTCCAGTTAATGTCTGGCTTGTTAAAACCGGCCAAGATAAAATTATGGCTACTGATCCTGCTGTTTCAATTCCATTGTTACAACTAACCCACGTTCCCTCCATATACACCCCGTTTGGACATCACTGCCATTAGTAGAATAAGGGAAATAGCCGGAGGAAAAGATGGTGCATGAACCAAGACTCAATCAGGTTCCTTCACATAACGCTAGACTATGGCTTCCCCTTATGACCAAACCAGGCCACAGAAATCTACTGCTGTCTCTGCAGATTTCAGAATCTGTCCTTCCATTGATTTGCTTGTCTTAAGAGGGAACTCTGAAAGCATGACCACAGCGTGCAGCAAAACCTCAGAAGCTGAGTTGAGTCCAGCACTACAGGGAACAGAGATCTAGAGCTTGCCAAAAGCTCTTCCAAAATAGGCTCCTATATGCAAATATGCTTCACTGGGGGTGCCTGAGGGGTCCTAAGGTCCATGGTCCTGAGCTTTTTATTAGGCTGACTCTGAGCAGCAGTGCCGAGAACACATGGTTCTGAACTACCTAGGCGGCCACAACCCAGGGAGGGCATTTGATAGCTGCAAGGCGCCTTACCTGGACAGCCCGTATCCCCTGCCGGGGCGCTGGGAATTCTGAGGGTGGTAATGCTCGTAAGGGCCCACGTGCCCTCCTCCTTGAGAGCAGTGAATGGGAGAGGATCGGCCTGACGGAACACCCTGCTGCAGCCGAGGCGGGAGGGCAGGCGGCCCTCTGCTGTAAGCCACGGTCATGTAGACTTCCTTTCCACGTACTTTCTTAAGCAGTTTCTTCCGTGCCTTTATATCCATATCTGGAAGGGCAATTCGGGAGATAGGGAAGCAGCTGAAGGGCAGATAGATATACACACGCACACACAGGTAGCAGAGAACTGGATCACTTCTACCAGAATGTTTGCGTATGTGTCACATCATCAGTGGCCCTGTGGGAAGGAAGATGGCGGAAGGCCGAGAGGGGCACATAGGAAACATCCGGACCTGTTCCAGTTGAGTTCTCACCTCCTGCTCAGAAGATGACAGAGGACTTTGGGAGGCCTGCTGCAGGTCTACCCAATTTTTTTCCATCTTCCCTTCCCATCCTTTCCCCTTTGTACATAAATTCCTTTCCAGGTTTCAAACCACTGGACAGGGACTGTCTTGTTTACTGGGAGATAATAAGCCACTCTGGGAGCCATTTTTACTGCAGTGTGGGATAAAAACACTTTAAGTGAAATGGACAGTGTGTCCTTTCCATTTCTTAAGCAGAGATTAAATGGTGAAGGCTCAAGGAAAGCCAGTATTTTACAAACAGAGACCCTGGAGAAAACTGATAACACAGTGTGCAAATAAGACTAGAGTGCTAAAGCTGCTGCTGAAGCAGTCTAAAAGTATTAACTATCTGGACCAGGAGAACAGGAAAATGGATTAGGCTGCCACCATTTAGCATGGAACTGAAAGGGCATCTTGCAATCCAAGTCAAGGCCTTTAGTTGCAGGATGTGGACAGCTGAAGCAGCAAGCTGGCCCCAAGAGACCTCCTCAGGGCATTTATAAGTGGACCTCCCACTTCCAAGGGAGCAGGGCTTCCGAAGAACAGTAAGGAATGCAAATTGCAGCACTACAGTCTTGGTACCCAATTTCTGCCTAGCCCCTAGATTTGCCGGATGGCCACAAAGAATCAGAGACTGGCAGGTGGCTGATCAGCAGTGAAATTGCTCAGATACGATCCCCTGCAGCAGCCCTGCATCGGTCCCTTGCCAGGAGAACCCCTTTGTTGACTTCTCTCCTCTCTCTGGCAAAGAGAAGGCCAAAAGATACTTTTCGAGCGATTCCCAAGGCTGACCCTTACTCAGGATACACTGAAGAACTGACTTCTCTTTCATGCTGTCTGGAGCAAGAATATCTGCATTCTGATTTAGATGAGGCTGATATACCTGAAGCATTGGCAAATTTCCACACTATTCTATTATTTGATTCATATCCCGCTTTTTTCTTTTTTAAAGTGTTCAGATTGGCTCACATTCCCCTCGTCCTGCTGCTTTCCATCCTTTCCTCATAACAACAACCCGGTGAGGCAGTCTGGGCTGAGAGTCTGTGACTGGCCCAACATCACCTCTTTGGCCCCATGGCTGAGCGGGGACTCGAACCCAGATCTCCTGAGTGCCAGTCTGGTGCTCTTAACCACTATACCACACTGGCTCTCTCTTTATATTACTTGGAAGTCCAGCCTGAAGCGGGGTACCTCTAATCCAAACCGAACAAATAAGCACACCAGGATTTCAAAGAGAGGCACTAAATTACGGCGAGTTTTCAAGATAATTTCTATTTTACAAGTTTCATTTGTATCTGACAGATCTATTATTGCTTTTTCACACTGTAGCTTGAGAGTCTGAGATCGCACCACTTTTAGAACAGCCAAAGTGAATTAACTAGAGCAAAATTAAGAGGAGAGAGGCTGCTCCAATGAAATAAAGGGAAAAATGGATGGATTTTTAACAGGCCACAGACGCAATGGGTAAAAGAGAGATTAGCAACCAAAGCTATGTTCCTCAAGGCCTCTTCTCCCGCCCACTCCCCATCTTTCTTAACTGATGTCTGCACCCATCTGCCCCGAAGTAGAACCAAAGAGCAAAACCAAGCTGTCTCCTCCCTGATCCCATAAACCTACCCTGGCCCTGGGCCAGCCCTCCTCACCCTGCTGTTCTCCAGAGGGTTTGGACTTCACCTCCCATTCACACACAGGCTGCATACAGAAAAAATGGAGGAGAATACCCAGCCCCAGGTACTTCAGAGGGTGATGTGTCAGACGCGTGGTACGTGGGCAGTATGCATAGTGGTTAGATGGAAAAGCAATCTGTTTGATCCATGGAGTGATAATTTGAGAAAAGCTTTCACATCTCTTGGGTGCAAGACTGGGAAGATGGAAATGCTTTTAGGAAGACACAAGAAGGCAAAAGGAGTACATCTCTCATTATTTCTCCATATATCCAATTTACGACCACATTCACAAAGATTTACTATAATAAATTATGGCGTCAGGATTTGCGGCATCAGACCCATGACTTGCCAACATCCTTTCAGCTTGGCTATGCCTTGGACACAGAACTCTTTTCAGTCAACTTTAAGGCTGCATTTTTTCTCTTATGCTGCTGCTGATTCCAGATCCGAACTAAATATATGGCAAGTTGTAACTGGGGGCGGAGGGTATGTGTTACCCTTCTTACAAACTCTCTCGGTATTTTAACTGGTTGTAATTCACGGTTTGTTATCTCTATGGCTTGTTTTATATCCGTTTCAGTTCATTCCTGCACAATGCTTTATCATTTACCCTAGCGAGGGCTGTCATGCAACATTAATACTTTTTTATTTTAGTTGAACTGATATGTGAACAAAAGGGTGCTATTTCAGTTTTGCTTGACTGACAGGAGAATAGTTCCACAGAAGAAACGTGCACTTGAGTTAAATGACGTGCGCACGTTGCCACAGCACAGCATTTGCTTCTTCAGCCGTGCCGCACGGGAGGACGTGTCTCTTTTAAGTGGCTGTTCTCACCTGCGCTACGTAGGGGAGTGCTTGTACTAAAAACAATGATGTCTTTAAAATCTTCCTCATTACTCATCCAAATGCCTGTAATCATTTAATCACACTGGTTGAGCACACAAGTCTATGCACAGCCTACATCTCTCAGCACGGATGGCTGGGAGTTGGAGGATTTTTTTTTTCTGTCTCACTGTTCATAGGACTGTCCTGCAGACACTGCAGTTATGATCCAATGGTTTCGTTTCTTAAACCCGCAGGATTTTCTATCCTACCCCAGGCCTTGGTTGATCGCAGAGGCAGGATGTGTTATGATCAGCTTCACTGCAAGAATCCTGAAGGACTGTTTTTGCTTTCTCCACCCACAACAAGCATAGCAAACCTTCGGTGCTGCTGGATATGGGAGATGAAAGCATTTCCATGAAGGTCTGGTGAAAATGGTTTTGTTGTGTTTTGCATTCTGTATTCCACTTTCTTTTAGCCATTCACCCAGTATTTCCCACTGATCCTTTGTTTAAAACCTTCAGTTGTATCCCATGCTTTATTTACAACTCTTATAAGAGTGATTTAATATTAGATTATATTGCTTCAGAACTGATATATTTCTCCCATCTTGGCTGCTTCGCTTTGTGCCCCTTCGTGGTCCCAACCATGGGTTAAGAACCAGGTTCTGCTTGGCCTTTCTTGACTGGATCTCAAGGTTTGCCTATTTACTGTCTCTAAAGCAGTGCAACAGACAGCTTTGCATCTGCACAGACCCACAGATGCCCCATTTGGTAGCAACAGTCTCTTAGTTCCTCTGGGTAAGGAGTGGGTAACCCTCCAGCTGCGGACTGCCTGCCCTGGCGTTAAGCAGCCACAGCAAAAGTGCCCATCATTGTCTGCTTGGCACCCACCTGCAATCTTCTGATAGTTTCCTCCTTTTCGACTGGGGACCACGTTCCATGCAGGGACTGGTGTCACTTGTGTCACCGGCTTCAAATTCATCAGTGGAACAACATGCCTGCCCAAGAAGGATGTCATTACAACCAAGCTCAACATTCCCTGGATGACACCATATTGGCAAGTGCTCCAGAGACTACCAAGAAAGCAAAATGATACTAACCATCAGAACGCAAACTGAGTTCGGTCATTACGGGCACTTAAATTAGTCATTTCCAAAAGGCTAATTTAATTGTTACAAAGACACTGGGCCCTGATGGGTTACACCTGAGAGCACTCCAAGAGTTGGCAGGCGTTCTCTCACGCCCACTGACCTCCATTTTTGAGGCCTTGTGGAGAGTTGGTGAAGTCCCAGAGGACTGGAGGGTGGCGTCAGTGGTCCCAATTTTCAAAAAGGGCAGAAGAAGCGACATGGGGAATTACAGACCAGGTGCATCAAACTTCCAGAAAAGCTGAATAAAATCTGTGCTAGGCTGCCCCAAGAACACTTCCGCAAGGTGTCAACAGAATGGTGTGTGGAAAGGTCTTGCTGCAACTCTTGTTCCATGCAGGTAACTTAAGAATTAGGTCACAACCATCAACAACCTTCACTAAGTGCTGACTGAATGGCAGGAAAAGACACTTCTGCGACCGGCAAATCCCAGTTTGTTTCCATCCACTTGAGCATTGCGCCCCAATAAACATTTGTGGCACCTTTAGAACACCGAGCATCTTGTGTACATCAAGTGGTATCCATGCCAATGAAATCGCTTCAATTCCAGGCTGTAACACAACGACTCATGCAAAAGCCAAAGGGGAGGCACATGCTTCTGCCAGGCACTGTACAACTACTCCCAGTCGAGGAATCCAAGGGCACTGGCATCTCCGACAAAAAGGAAAACCTTTGGCTCTCTGGGCAGGACTCCTGTTCCATCTAGCCTTGACTGGAGGGCAATTCCTAAGTTTCACACCACTCTTTGACACTTTTTGCCTTCTTAGCCTGTTCATCCCACGCGTTCTGACCAGCCACTCGATATCTATTTCACATGACAGCTGCTGATGAGTGGAGCTGAAATGCCTGGTGTTAAATGCAGTTGAAAACACTTCCTGTGCAACTTTACACATACCTTCCCAGGGCGCACCATCGGTGCATTGCAAGCGTGAATGCAGAAGAGCATTTTTGAAGGCTGTGGGCCTCAGCAATAGACTGATCAAAATGAGCTGGCTCAGAACATTTCATCTAGGGATCTGGAGAGGGAAACCTTTTGCCATCAATTTATTGGCCTTTAAGGAGGCCAGAAAAGAATGTCTCAGGTGTTCTTGCTGCAGGAGACTAGCTTCCTTCTGGAAGCTGAGCTTCTCTGTGGGAGAAATATCACAGCAAACACACCAAAGCTTCAGGTGACCAAGGGATATACCTTGGACAACATGGGCTTCTTGGACAACTTCTTTTCTTATGAAGGAGAACAATTTATTTTTGCTCAGCAAAGGATTATGAAGCTTTATTTCTCTTCAGCAAGTATTGCAGAGAGCAAAATTCTGGTGGCAAAGGCACAGAGGGGACCCAAATAGAGAGTGCTTGGAGCTGCAGTGAATTTGTCCTCCTGAACCATGCAGGTTGCATCTCTGCACGTCTGTCTCATGCAGGCTGGACCTGAGGGACCGGAGACAGCAGACACTTTCCCAGTGGAAGGCTGGGCACCAAGACAAGCTTACAGAAATGTGACCGTGGGAAGCAGCAGGTAGAGAACTGAATTAAGCTATGAAACAGTTCGTCATTACAGAAGCTTTGCTAGTTTCAAATCGGCTGTCTCTGCATTCGCTCTGCTGGAGAGAGGAGCATTAGCCACAATGCAGCCTATTGGAAGTAACGTTCCGCGCTCCCGCGCAGCCTTAGCCGCTAAAGGATTATCACCACCCTAATTTAGACGTAGCACAGACTAAACCCTAGTACTTATGCCTAATCCACTTCAGTCCCATTAGCACAGTTGCTGGCTGGTATCACAACATCAATGAATGAACATCAAATTAAAGGGAAAGAAAGACATACTTTTCTGCCAGCTCCTCAATGAAGACAGTTACCAAATTATCCTGTCCAACATCTTGAATGTGAGCATTGTAGTATTTACCCCCAGTCTCGAGGCGCACCTGGGGAAAAAGAGCCTAGTTAAACCAAAGATGTAATTGGGAGACACGTGAGAACCCAGCTTTCCGGACATTCGGCTGCCAAAATGTGATATTAGCCACATCCAATTCATAAACTGACATGTTAAAATCCTTAGATGTGTAACAAACCTGCCAATCAACTTCCACGTCTGCAAATCAAACCAGATTACTTTTCTTATTCTGTAGCTGCCTGTTCAGTCTACATTTGGGGAGGGGAAGAAAGGTCTTAATAACCTTTTATGAACTTTCTCAATGCTTTTTTCCTTTAATCTCTTCAACAGAAAGCACGATTCCTCTGCAAAGCAAGGCCCAAATTGTGCCTGGGAACTGCACTGCATGATGGTGTAACATTGTTTCCTGGATTTTTCAGAAAGAAAAACAGATGACTGCAACTTTTGCTCCCATAGAACTCCTAGAAACAATGTGACACAACCTCCTAGCATCCTTTTGAGGGACAACCCAGGCCTATTTCGGCCATTCCAAAAGGCGGAAAGGACCTCTACTTACTGCCCTCTTCAGACATACTTTTACCTTTAAAAAGGACCGGAAGATCCTCAGACCACACTGCGATCACTTCAAGTCTATTCTTCCAAAACCTCTTAACCAAGAACTTCCTTCCACACTTTAAAATACCAGATTCGTCACTCAGTGACTCCATTATGAGATTAAAGGGTCAGTTTTTCCATGATTCCTCCCAACCACATCCCAGTAAAGTGGATCCAACATGGGAGCTGCCGTCAACCATGGCAGACCACTGCCGCACCTGGGCCAGCATTGCTAGCACTGGCTGGCAGCAGCTCTCCAGGTGCCGTGGCAGGTTTCTTTCTGAGCTCTACCTAAAGGGACTGGGGGCTAGTTTGGTGGAATAGAGAGATCATGCTCCCACATTCAGTTTAGACGCACAATGCAGGGATGGGCTATGCAATTCTCTCCTAGGCGAAATTCAAGAACCTTTCATTCTCAAGGATTTTTCTGTTCTGAATACTAAACTGAGTGTCAGCCAGCCAGAACACAGAAAAAGGGAGGCTGTGAAAATACGCAGGTGGCTAGAAACAGTAAGCTGCATAGTAAAACAAAACTGATCACCTTAACAGGATACACCATTATGGGCCCAAAAAAACTGCAAAACCCTTCAAGTCTCTGAGGTAACACAAGACAGAGAACTCAGAAAATGCTCAATATAGTGTTCGTTTGGGGAGCCAAACCATTATTAGTTGCATTTTCATACTTAGAAATGTGCCTTTGCCTTTAACCTTATGCTTTAGCTGCAACATATGTAATAAAAGTTGCTTTTAACAAGCTACCTTTTACTAAACAAGCATACAGGACTAACCTGGCACTTGTCTCCTAAATAGTACTGTCTTCCAGCAAACACCAAATAATCCATTTTTTGGAGTTCTACAAAAGGAGATCAACAAAGAAAACCTAAGGCAGGTATCATGTTCTCATTTTCTATAAAGTTCTATGATCTCTCACTAGCATGTTTTCTTTTTCCATGCTATTGATGGTAACAGTTTGCTTCTGTAATTTGTTGCACTGCTGAAGGGGATACGTTCAACTGCTAATCTGATTCTAACAAGAGTTCTAATATAAATATGGCGATAATCTATAATTTCATATATAAAGCCTTCAGGAGGAAACGGCTTTGCCTGAAATCCAACAAGGAACAAGATAATAGCCTCAGAATCAGAAACTGCCTTATATTGGCTGAGTTCACACATCAACCACTTATGTCTTGGCTTGAACCCTGGGTTGTTGTGATGTGTGAACCCAGAGGCCTGTTTAATCAGTTGTTGGTTGGTTTAATTGGTTGTTGGGTTCTCAACTGTGGTTGTTTAAACCATGGTCTGCAAAGTGTGAATCCAGAACTGTGGGCTGCCATTCATTGTGTCAGCAGGCCGCAGAGGCAGGGGTGGCGAGTGAACAAATCAAAGAACTCAGGCAAACTGCGGTTGAGCACTACACAGCTGGAAAGTCATTTGGGAGACTGGGCAAATCAGATGGAAAACACAGATTACTGTTTTTTCAATCATCAGACAAAACACAGGCAGGGCCACAAAAAAGGGGGGGGCTACTACTGTGTGCAAAGCAGGTCACAGAGCAAGACCTTTGTTAAAGGTTCTCCAAGGCCTCAGATCCTTTATGTGGCGGTATCAACAACAGAACCAGACGGAGGCGTCCTCCTCAATCCACTTGGTGTCTGAATGAAGGCAGTCAAAACTTATTCTAGGCCGGCTCAGAGGTGTCCAGTGCAGGCAAAGCGCAGCTAAAACACCTTTCGCATGCATGAAGATTGGCTGAGACTCCCGTCAAGTATGAGGAAGGAGATCACCTCCAAGGGGTGCAGTAATTATGTTGCTTGTGAAGCCCAGTTTCTTTCAAATGATAAGCCTCCCTCGGGGCACTGTGTTCTGCCTCCTTCGCCATGCAGCCCGATTGCTTCGCCAAATCGCAGGAAGCATGCAACATGACAATTCTGCAACTCTGCATGCGCACCTGGGAACCCAGGCCTTACAGGCTGGTGTTAAAATATTCACATGCAGCATTTGCATGTTAAATGTTCACTGCACTTACCACAGCAACCGTAACACGTGGAGTTGCCCTAACAGGCGAATGGCCCTGACAGTTTGCTTAGGGTACCTTTTCTGCTGTCCAGCCAAACGTCAAACTCTATGTTCCGGTATATCTCGGGGTCCAGCGCTTTCAATACTTTATAAGGAAAGGGCATCTTTGGATTCTCTGGAGGCTGCAAAGTTAAAACGGGACAAATTCAAACTTCATCCAGCAGCTTTGCTGTGCTTTTGTCCTTGATGAGAGGAAAATATGGAAACCTACAACTTCAGCTTTCCTCCACCTGGCCCTCTCCAGATGTGGGTTGGACTGTAACCACCATCCTCCTCAGTCCACTTGGCCAAGGATCATGCTTGCAGAGAATGACTGGAGCTGGGGAAGGCTGAGTGAGACTTTGATCCATTTGAAATTCCAATAGGACCGCATACAGTTTACACTGAGTGTGAAAGCAATGAGGTGGATAGCAAGGATATTATAACCTGCCAGGAAAAGCTAACCACTGGCAATTCATTTATGGGACTTAACAGGACTAAGATAAAAGACTGGAGAGAGGTTACATGGCTTTAGGATAGATGCCAACCTTATTATATGGATACAATCAAGGAAACCCAGTCCCTCGTCTCCAGTCTGTATCTATTGCAATGACTTCCAATCATCCATCACACAAAAAAGCAGGCACAAGATTGCAAGGTGTGCAGCACAACACCCGTTCCCCTCCAAACCTCCAAGCTATTAAAAATAGCTTGACATGAGGAAAATGGTCACCCAGGTCAGGGCAGAACGGGTATTGTGATGTGACACACATGCACACAAAGCTGGAGTGAGTTGCAGAGGAGGATGTTGCTTTATTAAAGACCAGGAGGAGCACAAGAGAAGTGCACAGCACAAGAGGGAAGCTGAAATCAAGGGAGGTGCTGCAGCCATTGATAGGTTGTGCACGGTTTTCAGGCACTCTGCTTTGGAAGCGGGCGGTGCTTTTTCCAGGCGCCTACGTTTGCCAGCCCCAAGGCAGAACTTGGAATGGGACGTGCTGAAGCGGCATCAGGAAGGGTCCAGACTGAGGGGTAGTGGGGAGAAGGGAAGGCAGGAAAGAAAGAGGTCTTCCATTTCCCAGATGTGAAATGCTCCGCACTGCTCGATCCCATTGTCTTAAGGTATCAAACCTTTCCCTCATCGGTGCCTTGCTTGCATTTTTCCTCTGGTGGGCTGGCTGACTCATAGCTGTCCCAGTCCTCCATCCTAAACAATCAAATACAGACAGGATTGGAAATATCATCATCGCTGTCCAGTGCTGAAAAACAAGTGTTTCAGAGGCTCTGCCATGCTTAGCGCCATGGTGCCATCACATGGTCAAATCGAGAATAACAAGAGACCGTCTCCTAATCATAACAATGTTGTAACTTGGCAAAGGCAATGATGGCAGCCATCCCTCTGCTTGCGTACATCCTGCGTACAATTGTGCTACTTGCCTTGAGAATCATCAACAAACATGCCCAGGTCATTGCAAACAAAACCCATTCCAGAACTCTGTATATCAACACATCTGAGATTTGCTGGTCATAAGTCATGTTCACCTGAAGACCAGCCATACCAAACCAAAGGATTTATTGGTTATTTATGCATTCATTAATGGATGCACGGTGATTTTGTTCAGGCTTTCAAAGCATACCTCTTTTCCGGAGAATTTCTGGATGCTCGGTCTGAAATGCAGTCAAAATTGGCATCCTCACTGCCAACAGATGCACTGTTTCTGTTTTTCTTAGCCCCACTTCGAAACAGCTCAATGGCTGTCCTCAGTTCTTCTTCATCCACACGGAAGACATTCTTGTACAGGATTTCATATAAGACAGCTAGGCAAAAAACAAATTTAGACCTCCTAAGGCCCATGACAAGCTTCTTGAAAAGGCTGTATTTTAAACATGAAATTAAGTGGCTGACTATTTAAGACAAGGCAATGGACAAGAAGTGCTTCATTTACCCTGGCAAATTGCAATGTTTGCTTGAAATTCTTTGGTATACACAGAATCATAGTGACCATTGTTGGAACAACATAGCAGAATCTGAAAAACAAGTAACTGGGTTAAAATATGTCTGGAACCCTTTATTTGACCTTTTGTCTCGTCTCACAAATCACACACACAGTCACGAGTGTCTCCCCGGTTGCTTTCTACATGCATAACAAACAACATCTACCTCTTATTCACACATCCGGAAACTATTATTACACTGCATTTAGACCCCACCTTTCTTCCTCTTGCAAGGAACCCAGGGCACCCCACAAAGTTTTCCTCCTCGCCATTTTATCCTCACAACAACAGCCCTGTGAGGTAGGTTAGGGTGAGAGGCAATGACTGGCCCAAAGTCAGCCAGTGGGTTTTATGGCTGAGTGGGGACTGGAGCCTCGATCTCAGCCCAGTACTTTTAACCAGCACACCACACTGGCTGTTAAATGCACGGGGGGGGGGGGGGGATGGACTTGCTAGGCCCTACTACCATTTCAATTTCAGCTCAATCCAGTTTGGATGCAACACATGGCACTCAGATGCCTTTTGGGCACTATTTGCACTCTTTGTGTAAATGTATTAAAATTTCCTTAGCTTTAAAAAATGCACAACTAATCTCGGAGACAGAAATTTGCAAGCTGGCAGCACTCACCAGCACAGGACTGGGAAACTGGAATCTGGGGTGGAGGGTGCATCTGGGGAGCATCGTGGAAAAGCATCTCATTTGCCCTCCCTACTGGAGTCTTTACAGATTCCTAGTCAACACCAGCTGGCAGAGGTTCCCCAGGGTTTCACCAGGCAGGAGTTTTCCCGGTCCCAGCAGGAGATGCTGGGATTCAGCCTGAGTCCTTCTACATGCAAAGATTGCCTTCCACCACTAAGTTACAGCCCCCTCCTGTTCTCCATTCGTAGGCTCATGCAACCTGCCTCCATTTCAGGGGACGGGGTGCCACATCCTACAGGAAATGGAGGCCCTGTCTGAGCTGTTCATTTCCTGGACAGAGACCTCATAGAAGGCATGAGGTCACCCATGCCTTCCACATCCCCACTCCAAGCCTTCCCTCACCAAAAAAAGGCTAAAGAGCAAATAACCACAGACAAACTATGGAGTAGTTTCTTTGGTCACACGCACACTGCCGTGACACGATGGCCAACAGACTGGCAGGAGAAACACAGTTATTAACACTTTCATTTCACTTAGCGCACAGTTCCGATTCACCCTGGCCGCCTTACCTTATCTTCAAAGCCGTTCTCTGTAGCATAGGAAGGTGGCTTTCCAGGTTGCCGATAAAGAATGAAGTCTCGGCTGGAGGATCAAGAATTAAGCAAGTAAAACACTTGAAAATACATTTAGCTCCTGTTTCTAGGAAGCATTACTTGGTAAAATGCATGCTTCATTAGTCTACATGGATTGTGGCCAAAAGGGAATTTCCATCTCGGGTTCCCCGTTACACAGCCATGTCCCAGTGTCATCAACTCACTAGTTTCCCAGTTCCCTACTCCCTATAATTAGGTATCACAGTCAAAAGAAATCCAAAATGTGATAACATTCTTGTAGAAATGAGAGGGACCTTTAAAGGATGACATTTCAACCACAGGTCCAAGCTGAGCACCATCTCTTAACCCATCCTTAGAAGACTTTCCAGATAAGGGCACTATCTGATGTAGTACATCAGCTCTTTTGCTTCACATCAGCCAGCCTCCCCCTAGTCTGTGCCCACTGGGATGGCAAACTGTCTTAAAAGCAGCAGTCAAGAAAAACTGAACACACCTGCCTATCTCTCCCCGCTTTCCCATCTCCTACCTACTTAATGTCTTGCCAAGGTATTCTGAGCCCATCCCGACCTTTTGGCAAGTTGGCAAATGCACTTGTGACATTCTTCTAGCTCAAGGGGCTAATGCCCCTTTCAAGTTGAAAGGAGGAAGGCTTCTCTCTACCATCGGCCACACTGTGCTGTTTTCCGTCTGCTAGAGGGACAAGAGCAAAGGCCCAGCAGCTCCCAAACTCTGATCTCCTTTTGGTGTCAGAGCAATGCTTCGAGTGAGAAAAGAGTGACCGGAGAAGAAGATACCGATCCATCTACCACCTTTCAAAGTCTAGATCTTTAATTTTTGAAGGCACTGAGAAGCATTTTGCTCTCTGCAGCACCTACCCAATAAATCCATTTTAATTAGAAGCGGTGACTTTCCTTAGCAGGTGGAGGCTGCCAACTCAAAGATATCAACAGAAATTACAGTGTGCTTCAAACTGCATTTTAAGGTTCACACAGACACACACACACACGCCGTACTTCTGTTCCCCTTCTGGGATGGTTTAGATAAGGACCTTGGTAATTCAAGAAATGGGTTTCACTTGAATGTCACTTTTGAAACCCCCTCCTCTCCCATATATGGCCATTATGACCCTGCAAAATGCCTAGCTCCCACCCTGTTGTTTTCTTTTTGGAAAGAAATGCAAGCGAAAAAACCCACTGCCCGCCCTCGACACCAGCAAGGACTGGAAGTGCCTTGCAATCCTCTTCTCTCTTAAAAACCCACCAATTCCCAGAAGCAGCCTTTTGCTCTCCACGGGAGGGGGAGGCAAGGAACAGTGACAGATTTAGCAAGCGGCAGCATTGAGCAGGAAAGCGGGAGAGGGTGCAAAGACCATCCTGCCACGCTCACAGAAGTGCTTTGAGATGGAAGGAGTTGTAGTTCTCCAGTTCGGCTTTCAAACCTGCTCTGATTAAAGCAACTGGCTTAAACGTTACTGCAGCCTTGTCACCGTAGCTGAGGATAACAGCGCTTGCAGTCCAGCACCTCATGGTATCCCAGCCAGATTTGCTGCGTGCAGCTTAACCGCCGCCTTTCAACACTACATCTGCTTCATATGTATGTTAGGACTGTAAATAAAGGGAACTTTGATGGACAGACAGTAAATGTTTGAGAATATTGGCTTTAGCAGGTCTGTCACCTGCACCAACTCCTAATATTCAGAACCGCTCAGGAGCTGATGGAAGGGATACTTACTTGTAGATCAGTGAAAGGACATTGATTTCTAGTTGTCCAGCACTTTCCTGTGGGTACAAAAGAGAAGTCAAATGAGCACTCTGAAGAACTCTGCACCAACACAGTGGAAACAGAAGTTCTCCATCTCATCTCTAGCAGAATGTGTCACCCATTTGGCTGACTGAAGCGCTCATTAGGAAAGTCAGCCTTCAAAGTGTCTCAAGTTCTCCACTCCTTACTATCTGTATTTCTATCCTGCCTTCTTCCGATAAAACCGAGCTCAAGATGGCTTACGTATCATTCAAATCGCAACCACAAAACAATCATAAAACAGCATCTTTAAAATGATCTGCAACAGCAACTAGAAAAGTTTAAGTTGTGATACTCCCAAGCAATCTTTCAGAATGAGGTCTCCACTGCTTTTCTTCTTAAGGATCAGTGTCCTCTTGGCATCGAGTGAGGGAGGGTGACTACGAAGGGGAGCTTCTTAACAAGAAAGATCTTTCATGTATTCTGTGCCAATAGGCAAGCGACTATTGGCTTCAGTACGGAAGCAAGAGGGTTGCAAGAATGCCAATATTTAGGCTAGGCTAGAGAGCCACCTGTTTGATTGTAGACTGGAAGCCCTCTTTCAAAAACTATTGCTATGGTGTCTATATTTCCTGGCAAAAATGCTACACAATGAACTAATAAGTGAAAGAAACCAGTCTGGTGGGAAACCATCAGTTGCTAAAGGAAAATCTAACTGGGTGGACGGCCCCCTTTGCTAGGCTTGTCTAAGGATATCATGCATTCATCTTTCTGCTCAGGGCTGGCACCTCAATGAAGTAGCAGAAGGGAAACATTGTAAGGCTTACCTTGGGGTCCCCAAGACGTTCCAGATATTTTTCGAAGGATCCTTCCACATACTTAACCAAAGAGAGAGAAAATGCATTGAACTGAACCACTCTTGCCAACATCCCCAATTCAGAGTTAAACCTTGCACTCACTGAGCTGTGGAAATCCCCATTCAATTACCTTTTAAATGTTCAGTGAATATGCAGACTATACATCTGAAAATTATGCATTGTAAATCGACCACAGAACTCTATTTTTAAGTTCCCAAGGAAGAATTTCCAACAGAATGAAAATGGCTGTTACTGGGATGCTTAAAAATATAATGACTAAACGTGCATTTTTGGTGGAGATAAGATTCAAAGGGGGGACCTCCTGGTTAGTCACCCAGTAGGGACGGGACGTTTTCACACACGAGCAAACAGTATTTTGTTGCTACACGCCTAAAGTGAAAAGAATCTTGGAGGCTTAGGACAGGAACAATTCCAGAGGCGAAACCTCCCACACAGAGAGGGATTGGTGGGAGATTTAATTAATTAATTAAACCAATTAAAGTAATAAGGAATTTGTTTAACTCCTCATTAATGAGGCCATAAAAATAAGGTGCCTTATTCTTCCAGAACAAAAGAAAATTAAAAGCACGTATAGGATTGATCACAAGCAGTCCAGGGTCTCTTTATAGCAATGGGCTCAAGTTACAGGACAGCTGACTGGCTCAATATCAGGAAGAACTTCCTGGCTGTTAGAGCAGCATGACAATGGGACCGAAGACCTCGGGAAGTGGTGGGCTCTCCCACACAGGAGGCCTTCAAGATGCAACTGGACAGCCATCTGAGAAGGATGGTTTAACTGGGAGTCCTGTACTGAGCAGGGGGTTGGACCCAATGGCCTTCCTGGGCCCTTCCAAATCTGATATTCTATGTTTCTCTGCTCTACAAAGTTGGGATGAGAAACACACGAATTTTAACTCACACACACCCAGCACATCATCTTAAGCCAGGTTTGCAAACACAGCTTTAAATGCACCTCCCTGGTTTTAAAATGTATCTCCCAGGGAGAAAGAACATGACACATTAACTGTTCTGCCCTCTTCAACATTAGACAAAATACGTATACAGATTAGCTGCATGCGTATATATACATCTATCTATATGTAAACACATTGTTTTGAAAATACACATATTTACAATGTTTATGCATCATAAACAAACCTACTCACAGACTCAAAATTGTGCTGGTTTTTTCTCAGGAATGAAACACAAGCATTTCTGACGGCCATATGATGTATTTGACAAGCATAAATCTGAAGGAAAAAACTCTTAAAATTAGGAACTTTAAGGCAGCACTGAATGCACAATTGCTCGGAATCGATCCCAGACACCCAGCCTGGGTTAAAGGTCTAAGTCTTATGGGTGGCGATGCTCAAGTAGCTTGAAAAGCAATAGCTTACTCTCAAGTAGCTGTATAGGGGTCTTAAGTTTCATCTCCTCTCAACAGCTGTAGCTTCTGGGGCGATTTATAAGCCTGAGGCTACAAAAATGCAGAATCCTACAAACCTTTGTTCTGGTTGCAATGATCAGTAAGCATAACTAATTTATGCTCTCTTTTCTCAGGAGGCTATGCAAACTGACAAAAGCTGCATGACAATAGCAGGCCCATTGACTTCTTCTGTAAAACAATGATTTGGCCTTAAAATTTTTTTGAAAATCATAGCACTGCTTCCTTTCAATGGGTTTTTGTTCTGTACGGTGGAGGTTTAAGCTTAGAATCTCAGCTTTAACGTGAGACAGAGATTATCTGAATTAAAACTTACTTTGTGCTTTTCTCAGTGCTTTTGTTTCGAGTCACAAACTTAGCATGCCCAGCTTTTCTTATGCAGCTTCTGTTGTGACTTTGGTGCCCTAAGCATTTTTTTTTTATTTAAAGGACTGTAAAAATAGGAAGCTGAAATCTGGGACATTTCAGACCAAGGCACTTACAAATTACAATTAGAATTACAAATCAGTAGAACTCTTCATGTGTAAATTACAGTACAGAATGTGCCCCCAAGATACTAAAATCACCCTGCAATGTGGGAGGGTTTTCATATGCTGATCCATGCCTCATGGTTCCTTCATGCTTTTTAAAAATGCACACCTGCTGAAAAACTCACAATCAGTAGTAGGGCAAACTAGAATCATTGTGTGTAGTGGGTGAGGAGGGGACATTGTGTCTCTCCTGATACTGCTGGACTCCAATACCCATCCACTCCAGCCTGTATGGCATATGGTCAAGGAAGATGGGAGCCAAGCACCACAACTGCCAAACAGCTGGTGAAATGCAGCCATTAAAAGACTTTGGGTCTCAGTCTGAAAGGAAATCTCACCTTTTTCCTTAGAGAAACTTTTTAAACATGGAAAACCGTCTATGAAGCTATTCAAGAAACAGGTGAGAACATGAGAGGCAATCCTACTGAGTCAGTCAACGGTCCATGTAATTCACTCTTGTGCTCACACAGCAGCTAACCAGCTCTCTAAGGAACCCCACAAGCGGTGTGGTAAAGACATCACTCAGCTCAGTGCTGAGGGCTCCCACTAAGACCTCTCTTCGCCCCCCCACCAGGTCCTCTCTGCAATAGGGAGGCAACTCTGAGCCACCTTACAGGACTTGTGCAAGACGACTTCCAAGAAGGCCACCCCAGCAGCCCACTCTACAGTCACTACAAAAGCTGTATGCCTCTCCATGAACTCCATTTCCTTCCACTCCCTTCGGTCTCCTCTGGGTCCTTTTCTAACTGTAAGCTCCTCGGGGCAGGGGCTGCCTCTGTATTCTCCGTAAAGCCAAGCAACAGAAGATGGTAACAAGCATTATACATGTGTGCGCGCGTGCATCAACACATGCATGCATTTATTACAAAAACTGCAGTGCACCTTTTGGATGCGAATGGGGACTTGGGCTGCCCCATTTACATTGCAGCATCCAATACCGTTTGATTATTAGTCTGCCTTAGGAAGTGTTTCACATTGTTATACTTTCTGAAAAACAAACACCTTCTTTAGCATGTTTTCCGGGAGGAGGTGTTGATCACGTTTGCAAGGCAGCCTTTGCAACTAAACGCAAACACTCAGCAACGGCCACCAGCGCGCAGAGGGCAGATCGACTCGCCCCCGTTTCCCGGGGACGCGCTCCGGCCAGGCAGGGGGCGACCCGCCGCGCCGCTTCTGCCCAGCCCGGCGTGGCTCCCGGCCGAGCCGACGGCCGCCCCGCCGCCCGGCTTTGCTCGGGAGTCCCGCGCGGCCGGGAAGGGGCGAGGCGTCCCCGGCGCGCCTCCGTTTTACCTGCTCGGAAATGGCCCGAAAGAGGCAGGTGGCGTCCTTGGCCGTGAGCTTGCGGTAGAGGCCCAGGCTGCCCAGGTACTCGTCCATGGTCACCTCGCTGACGGACTTCTGGCCGAAGTACTTCTTCCACCCCCGCTGCATGGCTGGGGGCGGCGGGGGCCGGGGCGCGGGCGTGCGCGGGGCGCAAGAGGGGAACCCGAGGCGGGCGGGCGCGCAAGAGGGGAACC